CCATTCAACCTGCGCTTAAGGTCTGTGTAGAGGATGTGAACCGGGTCTTCAGGAAGCAGAAATCTAAGAAAGCTTCAGGCCCAGACGGTGTTTCACCTGCCTGTTTAAAAGTTTGCGCTGACCAACTGGCCCCTATCTTCACACAGATCTGTCGGCTCCGATGGCCTTGTGGGCAGCGCGCTGACATGTAGCGCCTTTGCGCTTCGGGCGTCCTGAGTTCGAGTCCCGGCTCGTGGACCTTTCCCGATCCCACCCCCCTCTCTCTCTCACCCACTTCGCTTCCTGTCGACCAACTGTCCTATCTAAATAAAAGGCATAAAACGCCAAAAATAAATCTTTAAAAAAAAAATCTGAAGTTCCCTGCTACTTCAAACGCTCCACCATCATTTTGGTCCCCAAAAAGCCCCAAATCACTGGACTTAATGATTACAGACCTGTTGCTCTCACGTCTGTGATCATGAAGTCATTTGAGCGACTGGTCCTGGCCTACCTGAAGGACATCACTGGACCCTTGCTGGATCCTCTTCAGTTTGCCTACAGAGCAAACAGGTCCATTGATGATGCAGTCAACATGGGACTGCATTACATCCTGCAACACCTCGACAGACCTGGGAATTACGCAAGAATCCTATTTGTGGACTTCATTTTGGCCTTCAATACCATCATGCCTGACCTTCTCTCAGACAAAACTCACACAGCCCTCTGTGCCCACCTCCATTTGTCAGTGGATCACCAGCTTCCTGACAGACAGAATGGGCAAACTCACATCCATGACTATTACAATCAGCACTGGAGCTCCTCAGGGTTGTGTTCTCTCCCCACTGCTCTTCTCCCTCTACACAAATGACTGCACTTCAGACGACCCCTCTGTCAAGCTCCTGAAGTTCGCAGACGACACTACAGTCATCGACCTCATCAAGGAGCTGCTAGATTCACTTCCGCCAGAAAGTCATGTATGCCTAAGGTTAAAAATAAATGTTGTTTGTAGTGAATGCCCCTATTAATGGTCTTATTTTTACGATTTAGTTTTAATCCAAATGATGCGTGTGCTAAGTGAGTGAACATCAAAGATCACACAACAGAATTGCTCTCTCTCTCTCTCTCTCTCTCTCTGTTAAGTAACTAAGTAGGACAGCCCCTTCCTATCACTTCTCCTAAAAAAGGAAGCAGATGTGCCTCTGTAACTCAGATGGAGGAGGCGTAGACATCCTTAATCTCTAATAACTCCATTCTGCTGTCTGTTGTTCTGTTGTCGGTGTTTCTTTGTCTGAATATGGCACTTAACACATGCTGTGTGGTATCGGCGTTTGGTATCGGGGCATTTTAACGAGTACGAGTATGAGTACAGGAGCTCAGTATCGGGACCGATACTGATACCAGTATCGGTACATCCCTAGTGACGAGTCTGCTTACAGACAGGAGGTTGAAGAGCTGGCTGTCTGGTGCAGTCTTAACAACCTGGAGCTTAAAACGCTCAAAACTGTGGAGATGATCGTGGACTTCAGGAGGAACCCCCCAGCACTCCCCCCACTCACCATCATGAACAGCACTGTGACTGCAGTAGAGTCATTCAGATTCCTGGGCACAACTATCTCTCAGGACCTGAAGTGGGACAATCACATTGAGTCCATTGTCAAAAAGGCCCAGCAGAGGTTGTACTTCCTTCGCCAGCTGAGGAAATTCAACCTGCCACAAGAGCTGCTGAAACAGTTCTACTCTGCTATCATTGAGTCCTGTGTTCACCCATAACTATCTGGTTTGGTTCAGTTACCAACTCAGACATAAAGAGACTACAACGGACAGTCAGGACTGCTGAGAGGATTATCGGTGTCCCTCTGCCCAGCCTCCAAGATCTTTACATCTCCAGAGTGAGGAAAAGGGCTAAAAAAATCACCTTGGACCCCTCACACCCAGCCCACTCTCTCTTCGAACTGTTGCCTTCTGGTCGGCGCTACAGAGCACTGACCACCAGAACAGCGTAAACATACTTGGTAATACAGCTCTTCTGATTCTGATTCTGAAATATTACTGATTAGTGAAACATTGTTCTCATGCTGTAGAATCACAGAATTACTGCAATCAATAAACATAAAACACCCATGTAATTTAAGATTAAACACTGGATGAGATCAGAGATTCAGATGAGTCCACAATAATTATAGCATCATCACAACATAACCAAAATCACCTGATCCATTTCTTCTTGCCGTAACAAATGTGCTTTTTGAACACAGTTACAGCAGACAGAAAATGTCTCGTGAGAGTCAATGTTCAAGGGCACAACTAAAGCAAACACTGACCTCCAAAACAGTAACTACAAACTTTATTATTTTCAACAAAACTGAAAAAAAAAAAAAAACTGGTTTCACACTCAGTGTGAAAGGGTCTTAACTCCTCTCAAGCAGGCGCAGAACGCATGCTGTCAGATGTAGTCTGTGTGGTGTGTTCAAGCGTGGCTTTTTGGTCCAGACGCTGCTGACACAAGGTGACAACACTGTCAGCTTTCGTCGCTACTAGTTCTTTAAAGTTGGCTTGGTGTGTCCCGGCCTTAAAGGGGTCATATGATGCGATTTAAATTTTTCCTTTCTCTTTGAAGTGTTACAAACTCTTGGTGCATAAAGAAGATCTGTAAAGTTGCAAAGACTAAAGTCTCAAATCCAAAGAGATATTCTTTATAAAAGTTAAGAGTCAACCACGCCCTCCTAAAACGGCTCGTTCTAACACGCCCCCACATGTCTACATCACGATGTGGGAAGATTTGCATAACGCCGCCCAAATGTTCACACAAAGAAAGAAGGCGTAACTTTGATTCTCGCTGTAGTATTGTTGCTGCC